TTATTAATTATTCCTGTGGCAGAAAGGACTTTAGGAGTTATAGAATACACTGTGAATGATGCAGAGCTCAGGGATCTTTAGAGCCGCTAGTACAGCTTGTCTTAGCTTTTCTCTTTGTTGATCAGACAGTGTCACTTTGAATATCTTAATTAATTAATTCCTAAATAAGCCCCTGCTCTGTATGGAACATGTCTAAATAAATTATTTTTGAGGGAGGGAGAAGAAAAAGAAAAACTCGTGGATTGGGCTGACCTCTTCTCCCCAGCTCTACCCTGTCCACGTGCTCCTGTGGTTTGGCCATTGTTGCTGTTGTTTCCAAGCTGGAGGAGAGCATCCATGGGAGCTGGCTGCAAAGGAGGGCTCCAGCCTGGTTTTCCTCCGCCAATGCATTAGACAAGAAGTGGAACAACCGTCAACAAGATAATGAGTTCAATGCCAGGGTGACGGTTTCACTGGGAAAGACATTAGAAAGAGAACACTGATCTCTTTAGCTATTCTCCTTTAGTGCATTAAGTGCATTTATGTGACCCAGGAATGCATTTCTCAGACAGAAATCAGATTATGATTTTAAGTATCTGTTAAACTTTGCCTCTTCTTTCATGAAGTCTGTGACACCAACCTTTTTGTGGTTTTATTTATACCTGTGTGTCTATCATTCTGCTATAATTTTAGATCTTTCAGGGATTTCTAAAATGTCTAAATTGCTGATCTGTCTCCTTGCAGGCAAGTCTCACCTGGCTATAGTACAAAGAGTAAACAATGAAGGAGAAGGAGATCCTTTTTATGAAGTCCTGGGAATTGTCACTTTAGAAGATGTGATTGAAGAGATCATCAAATCTGAAATTCTGGATGAAACAGATCTATACAGTGAGTAGAAACATTTGCACTTTGTTTATAGACGAGGGGGAAGACTCTGTCTAGCAGCAGTTTTCTTTAATAGCTGTGTTTGAGAGATTTTAAGTTACTGATTTAAAATCTCAATGGTCAAATGCCCTGCAGATCCCTCAGATGGTCAAAATAATTTTTGGTTTCGCAGCATGGGCACCTCACCCCGTTATGCTGTATTAATTCAGAAACAGAACAAGTTTCTTTATTTGACCCTTCCATCAAGAAGGTTTACATCTGTAACAGTCTGGTCTCTCCTGCTAGCTGTTCTCCACCACAGTGGCCTTGTTAAACCTTTTTGTTGCAGTGCTCACAACCTCCCACATTTTTCCCTAACCTCTCTCTGCCTTGAGGGCCTGCAGTCCATGTACTACCATACCTTAGCAAGAAGGCAGGCAAATACCATGCCTCGAGGAAGGGGAATGGAGTATCTTTGGAGTCTATCTCTGTCACTCATTCAGGAAACCTGAGAATGGAAAGTCGTCTTCAGGGCTGAAAACCAGCATGTCCTAAATGACTCCTCTTTTTATCACTCAGTACAGCTCCTTCCTTCCTTTGTGTTAACATATGTTGAGGGAGGTGATGCTGCAGGTCAGCCATAACCTGGGACTTGAGAGATCTGTACTCTTTTCTTCCCCAGTTTAGAGTTTGTCTGGCCTTTGGCCAGTTACCTAAAGTGTCTTTACTTCTCTTCCCGTCTGCACAGTCTGGCCTGTGCATATGGGACTTCCTTTCTGTCATTCTTCATCTGTCTTATCTGTGCTTTGATCACTTGCTGGCAGATGCTATTTTTTACTGTGTGTTCGCATGTAGCACAAGGATGTCTCTAGGTTCTATTGTAATAGAAATAATAGAAATAATAATTTCAAATATCTTTAGCAATGTTCAGCTATCCTTTGCTTTCTTTTTCTTTCCTCATGAAAGGGATCTGAATGTTTCTACAGCACCGTTTTCAGGCCAATGCAAGCATCTTCTATCCTCCCTCCAAGCCAAATGCCAAGTGAGCACTTTACACTGTGGGATAGACATACTTCTACTTTTCCTAATAGACTGTTATTGCCTGACCAACTTTCTGTAGCTGGTCAGTATTTTACCAGTATTTATGTGCCCAAAGGTTCATGTAAATCACAGCTGTATTTTACGATATGCTAAACAATCTAATTACTATGCAAATCACAGAAGTCCAGTTAGTATCAATTTCTTTTCATACCTTCACAAAGGAATTGTTGGGCTAATCAGTTACAACGCAATGCTTTTACAGGATGAATTCAGACTTTCTTTTATACTCCAAAAAGATCCTATCTTTGTCTCATCACCTTTGAGATATTTCTGTGTTTCTATGAGTGAAAAGACATTGCATATGCTTTTCAATGTTTTTTTTTCCCCCTTCTTTGTTAAGAGAAACCACATAGATCATGCTGTGTTGTTCTTCAGGACAAAAAAAGCTTTGACCATTAATAATGTGTTAGAGGGCAAGGAAATGAGAATTTAATTTTACGATCTGAAGACTTCCTAGATTAACAAAATAGAGCTGGTGAACATGAGTTCATTTGAAACTGTCCTTCCTAGGGAGGTTTTACTATTGAAAATTCCTGGTTCAGAACAGAAGGGAAACTTCACTTCCTAGGTTTCCTGGAGGATGCAGGAAATTTTGGGGGGTGACTCCTGCTGTGTACCATGAAGATGAACTTCTAGTTTCTTTATGAAACACTGGAGTTCATTCCACTGCTTAGATGGAAGGGAACTGTAGCAGTAAGGGAGAGCAGAAATCCAGAGAAGCTGTGAGGATCACAGAAAATGTGATAGGTTTTGGATTTGGGCAGACTGATATGCTGTAACCACTTTCAATTGGTGTAGTGATGGGATCATGCTTTGGATTTACTGAAAGTACCTTACTGTCCACGATATGTTAAGGCAGCTCATTCTTGATGTTGGTATCAGTGTGTCAGTGCTGGTAACCCCATCTAGTACTAGAGTTCTCTGATGCTGTTCATTATAAGACCAAGCTGGCTTGCTCAGCTCAGACCAAGCCAGCTTGAAACCTTTGGACTGATTTGCTGTATGCTAGGTATTTACTTAAAAGTAGACCTTATGAAAAATCTTGGCACATTGTTATGCCTTTGTTCTGAAGTTTTAAAAATGTTTTGTTTCGCTTTGATGGAAACTTGAAATTTGATGAAATGGCTGACCTTGGTGTTGGAGGTGTGCCTTTCTGCTGTTTCCATGAAAATCCATTTGAACTGTGTTGGGGTAGAAGCAATTGTATATTTATAGTTTTTGCTGAAAGCTGCTCTCACTGCTGAAGCTCTGCAGCTGAATTTCTTAAGGGTTGCATGCCCAGTAAACACGTGGTATTTCTTCAGATTGCTCTTGTCTGCTATGTCTTATGGCTTGCAGTGATGTTGGGAGCAAGGAGAAGAAGATGGGAACAAGAAAAATTGTTAAATATGTCTAACCTATCAATATCTGGATAGATTGAGTACTTCTGAGACTTTGTATTGGGGATGATGATGGGGTGGAGAGAAGAGGTTTCTGTCATGACACAGGTAGGCTCTGACTACATCTCAGCCAGTGCCATGATGAAGAGCTGCCAGTGCGTTTGGCTCTTTGTGTTGGAAAGCTGGAGCATTTTTTCATAGTTGATGCACTACAGGAATCTGCCCTGCACTCCCATGGCCCTAGCCATGGTGGGAGAGCATTTCTCGACCTTCTCAGAGGCCCAAGAGAGAAAGCTGTATGTTCTGCATTGGCCTCAGACTGCAGAGTCTGCTTAAGGGACATGGAGTTCACTGTTCTGACCCGGGTTTGACTGGTGGCCTGTCTTATTTAGGTCTTTCTAATTGAAGACGAGTTTAATCATCCCCTTAGTGCAACTGGAATGCTGCTGTTTTTCACGCATACAGATTCAGAGAGGGTTTGCCCCACATAAAATCTGGGATTTTTCTACAAATGATGAAATACCTTAACACATGCTTGTGCACGTGTTCTGCATGTTGCGGATAAATAGTCTGGTTGTAAGCATCAGCTTACGTTGCATTTTTATGTCCTCACCCGCGTGCTGTTCAGCAGTCTGCCTGAGCAAATACGACCCCTGGCAAGCAGGGGTGTTCAGTGCCAGGCCATGGGGCACATTTGTTACAGACCTGCACTGCTGCAGCTGCAGTAGCTTTCACCTAATGATTTTTTTTTAGCCTTGGCAAGTCACTTCCCTGAGGGGAAGACCACATTTTACCTGAACATTCCTATTTCCAAACAGCTGTCAAAACAGGTATGTTAAATATATGTGCTAGTAAACTCTGTATCGCTTCTCCCATTTAAACCACAGAGCTACAGAAATAAAAATTGTTTGTCCTGTCATCCAGTGAAAGTGTAGCAACACAGAAAACGCTGTGCAATGCCGATTTGTCTGGCAAGACCTACAGATATTGGCATGGTGTACATCAGTATCGTTTGCCAGGAGAGCAGAGCTTTGTGTAGCTAGAATCTGATCTTTAGATATACCAAGGTGGTTGCCACCCGTTAGAAAATTATGCTTTTACCTTGTTGGTCATTAGGACTGTGGACTTGCTAACCTTCTGCTGTCTAGCACCAGTAGGCTGCAGGAGCTGCATCCTTATGGGAAGCTATTTTAGGCTGCTTAAGAGCTTCAGGTTTAGTCCTGCTGACTTTCTGTCAGTTGCCAAAACATGTGTAGTACACAGGGCAACCTGGTTTTCCCAGCTAGGGACAAAAAGAACTGGCAAAAGTAACCTAGTTAATTCCTAAACCTTTCTTTTAAAACTGAACAAACTCACAGACGTGAAAGGACCTATGCAGTGTGTGGGGCATAGGCTGTCAGCCTGGGTGTGTGCATCACCTGGGGGGATGAGGGAGAGGGGGACAGGGGGTGTGTGCTGAGTGAGACTCTGGCACCCGCCTCCGACTGCCTTGGGCTGGGCATCCTGGTACTGAGTATGGGCACAGGGTCAGGGAGTCTAGTCCTCTGGCCATTGGACTTTCTTCTCCTGGAGTATCTGATAGATGCACATCTGAAGCATTTGCTTGTCTCTGTGCTTGTATGGTTCTTGTGTGCCATGCAGAACCATACTTCCATTTGATAAAATATTTTTGTCCTCATTCTCTTGTCTGGAGCTCTCTGCGGATGTCTACTCTGTCCTAAGGACAAAGGGACAGAAAGGAGCACAGGAAGAGAGCAAGAACCTTCCCAGAACACTGGGTGCATTTGCAGCGCCTGTCAGCCTGCTGCCGGCCTGCCCGCCCAACTGAACGGGTGAGCTGAAGTTTGAACTCCCTGTTCTAAGGCTGTCTCCAGTCCAAGCTGGCTCCTTCAAGGAAATTCATGCAATTGTTTGTGGTGTTCTGCATCAGGCCTGGAAGTTCAGGAATATTACAAGAGAGATCACAACCTTACTTGTATTTGGACCCCTTCTCTTCTTGAGTTCTCTCTCTCAGCCCAGGAGCTCACAGTCAGCCTTGCTGCCTTTGATTTGAAGGAGAAGTCTAAATATTCCCAGAACCTACTGAAGATAGTTGCAATATTTGCTGATATCTCACCAAAAGTTATACTGAGGGTATCCCTCGTGCATCGCACTGTTCATGTTGCAGAACCAAACAGTGTCACAGCACTGTGTAAGCAGAGATCACTTCAGCATGTCAAGGCAACTTCAGTACCCGGGTCTCCATCTAACTTACTGTAGAAAGGACAGACAGGAAGTACCTGGTCCAGATTCAATTACTTCTGTCACCATCCAATCCTTGGTTCCTATGTCTTACGAGAAGCTCAGAAGTTGTTTGGATGACGAAGAACAATTAAGACCGTCCCTTACAAAAATAAGCCAAGATAATGGCTTTAAGCCGTATGGCTCTGCTCTCACTGTGTAACATTTTTCATGGGGGAAGGTTTCTGGACAAGCTGCCAAAGAAACAGTAGGAGGAGTTGAAATCACCTGTCATTTGATTAAGAGCCTGGGTCTTTTACCTTGATGACTGATGCAGATGGAAAGATTTAAGGCATCCTCCCATCGTGTGATGCTGGCCCTGTTTTCAGGTACCAGAAGTGTAATGTGAAGCCTGCGGTGGTACAGCTCATTCACAGGAGAAATACAGAGATGCTTTACTGCCCTGCTGAAGAGACGTTTCCCTGTCCCAGGGCCAAAACTTGCACTTGTGGTGATTTCTGCCTCCCTGAAGAGAGCAATGATGGAGCTCCTTGTGAGAAAGCATCTCGGCCACAGCGTTGTAAAAAAATAGCATTCTCTGAGCTTTTCAGAAAAAGCACAGTTTCTATTCTTCTTACCTCTTACAAGAGTAAGTGAGAGCTTCTGGGGGACTTTCCTCCTATTCACTTTCTATTGCTTTGGTATCCATCTTTCCTTTAACTGCAAGTACAGATAAGGCCTGTCTCAGACTATATTCCTAAGGCAGGGATTGTTTTTAGTCTGTAACCGCTCCCTTGGGTGGTTTCTATTCCCGCTTTTGGAAGAGAAACTGCAGTCCCTGAAGTAGTGCAGGTCCTGTAAAGTACTACTAGGGTAAGAGGCTTCTGGTTTCAAAGAAGAAAAAGGGCATGGGTCATCATTGTTCTTCTCTATGTGCTTGGGAACAAGTATCTCAAATTTTCTGATTTGCACTGCTCACAGAATGAGCTTTAGATATCCAGAGTAGATATGTTACTATCAGTACAGTATTGCTGTTGAGTCTGTGATAGTCCTAAAGTGGAGGCTTGTCCATGGGAAATTGAGGCTCTAAATCCATTCATATTTAAAAGGCTAGGTGACTTGGGAAAATCTCTCTAGAAATCTGTTAATTACCAGTCTTGTGCATTTCCAAGCCCCAAACTCAGCTGCTCTGAACCTTATGTAGTCTGTGGCATATATTTGGACACCTACAGGACTCCAGATCTCAGTGGCTTCCTTGCTATGGTACCTCACTTTAATCATCTTTGCATGCATAACCCAAAATCTGGCAACAGCTACCTGGGAGTATGCGTGAGGTTTCACAATGTTAGCTTCACCTACACCTCTTTGTGTGCTTGCCCGAATTCTCTGCAGTGAATCAATGTACCAGAACTGCCTGTGGTCCCTCAAAAGTCCAGTCATTTTAAACCTATGTCTAGAGGTCTGATAGACAAGGAGCTATACTGTTTTCAGTATTTTTCCCCACTAAGGCCCTAGAACCTGAGCTGTGGCTCAGGTCTGAGGGGCTCACAGTAAGTGCCTCAAGACTTGGGTTTCCTGCAATATACAGTGGAGCTCAGAGCTGTCGGACAGCATTCTGCTGCTTGTAGCCAAGGCCACCTTACGCACTGTGTCAGCAGAGAAGAGCAAGATCCTGCCATCCGAGCAGAGACCTCTTCTTCCCAGAACTGATGTACACTGTACCCCAACATGCCTATAGCTCTCTGCTTACCTGGTTTCCTAGATGTTTTGGCAGATTAGCTCAGCGGGTAGATGATAACAGCTGGGCTGTTTGTGCCTCTGCAACTCCATCTTTCCTGTTGCCTTTCACAAAAGGGTATCGTCCACCACAGAGCCTGTTTTAAGACACAGACAAACCAAGTGGCAAGTACTTAGCTGAGTAAAGGAGAGGAGTCCAGGATCACTAGCAGGCAAATTCCCATATCTGAACTCCTAAAGCTACTCTGTACTTCATTCTGGCTTCAGTGCCTGTGAAGTGGCCAGAGATTCCCACGTGTACACCTTGCCAGCCTTTGCTGAAGTTTGGACAGGACAAAAGAAACTGCATATGCTAGACATTGGGAGTTACTTGGACCAAAGGCATGTGGATTTTGCCAAAGCTATGAAGAGTCAGTGAAGCCATGGTACAGCACAAGAAATAAGTAATTGTGTATTTAGTCTATGTACTTGCTGGGAGTTTTCTAAGAAATGTATATGAGAAAAGTAGCTATCAGTTATTCTTGTAGAGCAACACCTTTTGATCGTTAGTAACACTGAGCAGGACTCCTCCTCCCCACCTGGAAATGTGCACGCACCTTATGTGTAATATGCAAAGCCGCTCTGCAATTAGATGTTTGCAAGCAGAGGCCTTGCCCCCATTGAAGTGACAGCGAAGTGACAGAGACCGTGGATGCCTGGCTCTGTGGGACAGGGGCTCACAGCCAGACAAGCCTGCAGCACAGCTCGCTGGTTTTTTTCTGGTTTGTGCTGCTTGCCAATGAGCAGGGCTTTGTATGTACTGCAGAGGGGTTTGTCTGCACCCTGTGCTCTGGGTGGCTGTCCTGGCTGACTCCATCCAGTGTGGTTCATGTTGGACCCTGTTCTAACAGAAATCGCTTCCTTCCTTTCTTTTCCCACCCTCCCTTCCCCAGCTGATAACAAGACAAAAAAGAAAGTAGCTCATCGGGACAGGAAACAGGACTTCTCTGCCTTCAAGCAGACAGACAGCGAGATGAAGGTTAAAATATCACCGCAGCTCCTCCTGGCAATGCACCGGTTCCTGGCAACAGGCAAGTGTGGGTTATCTTTTTTTGCGATCGTGCCAGAGCCTCGGAGGCAGTTTGTCAGCTAAGGCCGGTGAGGTGGGTGGGACAGTGCAGGCGGGAAGGGAGGCTGGATTGTGGGGTGACAAATAATGCCACTGTTGTGTTTTTCTTTTTAAATTCTCTCCTCTCCTGTGTTCAGTGTCGGCATGAACCCTCTGAGACATTTACCAGGGGTGGACCAGTAACTTTAAATTGGTCTGAAAGGTAAGGATGAATGCCAAGTGCCGCACTGCATGTCTAGAGTCCGTCAGATTAACGACTAGCAAGTACACCCATTAGGAAGAGCTCAGGGAACAAACCAAAGAGGACTCGATACCACTGGCCAGCTGACTGTAATTGCACTCTGGCGCCTTCTCCAGAAAGAGATGCTGGACTTTTTGCAGGAAGGTCTAAACCCGTTCCATGAGACTTTTTGACTCCAAGTGAAAAACTCTCCCGACACATTTAATGCAGACCGCGCAGGCGGTTGAACTGTACTTTTTAAAATGGATTTCTGGCTGGCTTGTGTGACCTCCGTTGATGACTTCAGGTTTCAGAGGACAGTTGTCTCCATCCCAGAACACCTTGATGTTTTAGCCCTTGGGTGGGCGGTCTGGCAGAGAGGCCAGGGCCTTGAATGGTTTCTTGCAGCTGATACTGCCTTTCGTCGTAAAGTTGGTCCCTTCACCTCAGAGATGAGACCTGTTAACAGGAGAGCTTGTGGAAAACATACCTTCCTATTGCTCGTGCTGTCTCTCTTTGACATATAAAGACTTCTCACATGCAGGCCTTTCAGACGGGCATCTTTCACTGCTATGTTCAACATATATTCATGGGTTGAAAGTGATAAAGTTGTTTTGTCTCAAGTTTGCCAGCTCCAGTTGGAAATTAGTACTTCCCCTCCTCTAAGATGCAGTAACTGCCTGCCTAGATGCTCCTAGTCCACCTTCATGCTTTATTTTGCCTCTGTGACTTGAAAGAAACATGTACGTGATCGGTTATCACATCTCAGCTGAGGGGCAGTAATTCCTTAAAAGGCTTGGACTCCTACGGCTCATGTGCATGTGAGCATGTCCTTGGTGAAAGGAAGCAGTTCAACAGGAAGATGCGGATTTAACAGCAAGCAAGGCGTTATTCATGTAGTGGTACAAGACTTGATGGAGTTCCCTAAACACCTGCTCAACAGACATAGTCTTACAGTGCTGCTTCTCTACTTGTTTTGTGGATGAAAGGATTGTGTAGCTTAAATCCAGGTCTGTCTGTGAAGCCACTGCTAAATAAGTTGAAAGCTACGGTTTTGGTTTCTCTGTTCTAAATTGAGAATAGTATCTTTAGCAGATAAAAGGTACTGGGGTCATTAACAGTCCTGTTCTGAAATGAGGTGATAGGAAAGCTTATCAATTTGCATGTGTAAATCTCAACGTCCCTGGCTTAACCCTCCCACACAAGGATGAGCTTTTCCGCTTCAAACAGCTCCTGTTGGGAACACTGAAGAGCAAGTGGATAGGGGATGTGTTCTGTGTGTCAGGCATTAATCCCACATGGTTTGAACTGACCTGCACTGTCTCTCACTTCGAGTAACTCTTCCCATATGAACCATGGTAGCCCCAATTATGTCTTTGATTTATGTAGAGCATCTATCTAGAGCAACTTTCTAGGCCCCAAACAGTGATTTTTTTTTTTTTTAAGTGCAATAAATGCAGTAACTTTAATACCTTTTTGAGGAAGGAAAAAACAAATTCAAAGGTTCTCTGTGCCCCAATTATAAAGTTCTTCCATTTATTCAACTCTCCAGTGGGCCTATACAGCTGTGACTCTGAACTCTCACAAGGGCAAGACTGCCTTTTTCTTTTCCCTTTCAGATGAAGACATGGTTTTTGGTTGTTTTGAAAAATACTTCAGTAATGAAATTTTCTGGTTTTTTTTCCCCCCCCTTACAAATCTAACAGTCTCAAAAGACAGGAAGCCTGCAATTCCATAATGGATCTCTCTGCATCTGTGTGCCTTTTATAGGCAAATGCTTATTAACGAGTATTGCTAACTTCTTGCCAGGCATATGAAGTGTAATGCCAAGTTGTATCTTGTGTTATAGAAGTAGAAGCATTTGGTCCATCCCAGATGTCAGAGAAGATCCTTCTCAGGCTGCTAAAACATCCCAACGTCATCCAGGAGCTGAAATACGATGAGAAGAACAAGAAAGCCCCAGAACACTACCTCTACCAGCGAAACAAGCCCGTCGACTACTTTGTTCTCATTTTACAGGTCAGACATGTGATTATATACATATGTGCAAAATCCTTCATCTCCTGACATATCCCTCTCTATACCTCTTCCAGTTGTTCAAGCTTGTCTTCTTTCAAACATGGGAATGGAACTATGGCTCCTGGGAACTGCTCCTGCCTCCTTTATGATCTTGCCAACCTTGAAGAGCTCACTCAGCTGCTTTCAGACTCAGTTAAACCAGTTGTGAAGGGTAGACAGCGCTTCCCACTTCCAGTCATCTGTTAAAAGTTACTTACGCTTTAGGTATCACTAGGATAGGCAATGCAAAGGAATCCCTGCTGGGATTGCTTGGAAAATAGGGGTGCAAAAGATGGTATGTCATAGGAGTTTGGCCAAGAAGCTTTCTCTAATGCGTTTTTTTTCTTTTGCAAAAGGAGGCACGGGGAGTTTGACAGTTCAGAGAAATGACATTTTTCTGTGCAATTTTGAAGTCTGTACCTTTGGTGTTGTGAGAAGTGCAGGTTTTGGTGGGGGCGTTGCACCATCCACTGAACTGATGCCACCTCCTGCCGCAGCCCCTGCGGTTCCTGGGCACCCTGCCATCCAAGCACTTGCCCTACCCCGAGATTGCTGCATTTGGGTGGTTTTTAGATTGGGGCCCTAGGTGATGTGGAAGGACTGTTTTCTGCTTGTTCTGTACAGGATTGCTTCCAGTGCTGATATCTCCCAGGTTTTGTTACTTGCCAGGAACACCTGAATGCCTAGGTAAAGCTTTACACAGAAACTTAGCTTCCATCTAGCACCATTTGAGCAGGAACAGTCCTTTAAGAGAGATTTTGCTGGAAAGGTGCTTATGTTTCTATCCTGCATAACTGAAATCAGTTTTGGTTATAAAAACACAAGCATCATAGCTAAAGTAACACAGGACTTGAAGTCTTCCTTAACATGGCCTTAAAAAAAGGCTGGGGGGAGGGGGTTTTAAACACTGTCAGTGATAAACAATTTAAAAAGCACAGCAATATGATATTGTGGATTCAACGTAATTCTCTTTTAAAAAAGGATCTGTTTTTCAAGGGTTTGAGGAGCCACTGGTAGCTCTTTAACTGCTCTTTCTTATGTACTGAATTGTTGCAATCTGAAATATTCCAGAGGCAAGATAATGCTCCTGAATGAGGTAATGCTGCAAAGATGTAAATGGAGGACATGGGCGATACAAAAGAACAATCAGTTCTTTCTGAGATATTCTTCAATCAATAAATATTTAGCGAACACAATGTGCTAGCGCTAATGCATTTGGAAGAGTGTGTCTTGCAGTAGGTACATGCTATAAAAATGGTAACAAGGTTGGTTCCGCAAGGATCAAGAGGAGATAAATACTTTGCTTTTGTTACTTAAATGGCCTTGGACTTATTCTCTCATGTCGAGGGACCAAGAATACCTTTACAGTAAACACCTGCCAGAACACAATTAAGTGTATATTCTGTGCATTAAATTTACCAATTTAATCTCTGTAGAGTTACTGTTTTAGCTGGAATGTTACCTGCTTGCAACAGCTTTTCTCTTAGCTAATGGGAAGTTCTTCTGTAGGAGTTTGAGATTTGTTTTTGTCATTGTGTTTTTTCAAAATTCCTGTTAGAACATTAAACAGTGGAAAACCAGAAGCCACATGTGCATGCATTTAAACAGAGCAGAACACATCTAATAGCATGCATAGGGAATTCTGAATGGCGTTTCAGCTGCTGTGACTATGCCAAGCATGCTTGGTCTTCATATGGCCACCACTGGGAAGCTTGGAGGTGCTGCATGTGCTGATAGAGCAATGGACTTGGAACAGAAACTCAACTCCTACTACTAATTACGAGCTTGTATTTAGCTACTAACTCCAGACTGACTGTATATGAGATCAAATCCCGGTTGTATATGTATTTTGGAGGCCTGTTTTTGACAGGTGAATAACTACCAGCAGTAAGTAGGTTGAGAGCTCTGTTTATAACTACTTTTTGCCTGGGTGACGAAATTGTACCTTTTGGAAGGCTTATAATGAACAAATAAGCTACTTATTTCTGTTGTGGAGTGAAATTGGTTTTAAAAGGGATTATATGAAGTCGTTGCTTGTGATAGCAGGAAAGTGGATTTGTGAGCTAGGCACTCTCTTCCTGGTAGGTAGATTTTGTGGGTTTTCTCATCTGGGACAGTTAGACGGACTGACTTAGTATCAGGGCTCATGCAGGCTGAGTTAATTTTCACATTTTTCTGTCGCAGTACGGTACTGTAAGGTTAAAGGCATGATTATTTATTTTAAATGGTGCTTAATGAAATAAATGCATAGAAATAAAAATCTACCTTTTGGACTTATTTTGACCCAGTTGTGTCCGGTTGATGGTCAGTCTAGTTCATACACATGGGATGGGCAGTCTGTGTGCCCTTTCCAGCCTAGCCAGAGGGAAAGCATTGCAGGTAATTATGTTGTTTGCCTGAAATCCCAACCTTTGTGTAGTTCAGCCTGAAAGCTGCATGAGATTTCTTCTGTCTGCAGTGGTGTGCTGTAACTCTCAGTGCAGTACCAGTAAGGATGGATGGACGTGAAAACCAGACCCCACTAAGCAGCCAGTTATTTTTGGCTACTTGTCTACAAAAGTAACTAGGATGTTTATAGCTATGTTTGCTATGGTGGGTTCTGTTCTAGAGTCCTTTGTAGGACAAGATGTTAAACATTTGGTTCGGCCCACATCAGAAATGGGTGCAGTTGTGTGGTAGTGTGGTTTTGTACAGCTTGGGAAGCACTGAGGGTCCTTCTAGGCAAGACCCTGCAAAAGAGCAAGATCTTAAGTTAATGGTGCTGGACTATGTAAAATGGCTAGAAACCAAGAAGACTGAAGTAGCCTCAAGACTGTTTCTTCAGGAATAAGGGCTTTGTTTCTGTGGAAATCTCATCAGTGAAGGCAGACAGCCTCCTCACGTGTTGTCTCCCATCTCCTTTTCCTATGTCTGTGTTAGAGGGGACTCTCTGAATGTGAGCTGTGGCCCAAAATGTCTAGGTGTCTCAAGAGCTCAGATGACTGTGCTACATATAAGCTTGTTGTGATACTGGGGGAGTATTTTTTCACTCTGCATTGAGGGAAAGCAGCCTGGCAGCACTTGGAGCAGGGCAGTAGTACCACCCCAAAGTGCTGTGGTGATCTCGCTCCTCTGCAGGGACTTATGCTGGCCACAGGGCACCAAAGACCAGGATGGCTCAGGGCACAAGAGTGTGTTGCCCTCCAGGTCTGTTCCTGTTCAGGCACCATTACAAATTGCAGGGACCATGACACTGCTTAGGAATGTCAGGCAAAACTAGCTCTCGGGGCTCAAATCTGGTCTTGTGCCTCAAGACCTACGGTCCCTTTTAATTGCAGCTCTCTCTCCTTTTCCTTAACAGGGGAAAGTGGAAGTGGAGGCTGGGAAAGAGGGGATGAAGTTTGAAGCTGGTGCTTTTTCCTACTATGGGGTGATGGCCCTCACAGCATCACCAGGTATGTCCTCTTACCTTCCGCTTCTGGAATGCACTCCTGCACAAGCCTGCCCGTCCTGTGAGCGCGGCAGGAGGAGGCTGCGCAGGGCA